ACTGACTCCCAAACATGCTATTCTAGAATGGTGATTCCCCACACATTTAAGAGTATGACCTTCATACTCTTATATTCTGAATATATAAATCCTTATATTTATTTTTAAAATACATAAATGTACTATGTACCAATATATTGTATACATTATAAATTATAGTCAAAAATTTTAAATAGATAAAACAAAAAAAGTTTTTAAAATATTTTATTCAAGATCCAAAAATCTTTTTGACTCATTAGTGAGAGCAATAGGACTGAAAATACTGTATTATGTATTAAATCTTTTTTGTTTTAAATTTGGAGATAAAACAATTGTTTCTAAATTGTTTCTGATACTTGCTTTAATGGCTATAATAGATGAAAAAGATACTTCATAAAGTTGCACTGATCCAAAAGAACTGCATCATCACCTGCATTTATTAAATCATTGTACTAATTTTTAAAAAATTTCCTCCGATTATGGAAAGGTCTTTGCCGGAATACAGCTGATAAACTACCTTCTTCCTTGACATTCACTTGTTCATGAAGTCTAATAAGAAGGTATTATATTTTTGTATTTTTAACAAAAGGTTTAAAAATTCCACTAAAGTTGAGTTAGTTTCTTAGCTTTAAATATCACCTTTACTTTGAAGGACTAAGGTGCTGATATGCCATTAGAGAAAAGGGTCAGCAAATTTGGGACACTTTTAGTAAAAGAAAAACATGTGATTCTGCATGACGGTAGGCAGTATTCCTCTGTGTGGTTCAAAATATTTCATAATCATTCCTCATCTCATTACAAAGTATTATACAGATTCTATTATTTGAGAAACTTGCTTTATCAAGTGACCATACTCATGGTTGCCTGGTGTGTAGCTAGTACAAGATGTGAACGCAACACTTTTCAGTGCCCTGAAAGCACAACAACCAGTGCAACCTTCCAGTACACACCCAAGTATTCATAATAGTATGTGTGCACTCAAGTATTCAAGATAGTGACATGTGTGGCTATTTTGCACTGAGGCATCCAGGGAAGCTGCAGCAAGCCTACAGGAGCACCACAGAATATTTTACATCTGAAAGAGACACAGCAATACTCAAAGTCTGTCAGACACCATGAAAACTACTAGCTCAAGTAATTCAATTTTACATTATCTAGCACTACATCCCTTTTAAGGACTTCTTATCTTTGCAAGTTGGGTT